AAATTTACTTAAGAATGACCTTGCAAAATGATGCGACCTAAAATGACTTAACCTGACCAAAAATGACCTTATAGATTAAGGTCGTTTAAGGTCGGTTAAGGTCATCCGACCTAGCTCGACCTAAAATGACCTTAATCAACGTCGCCTAAGGTCGTTTAAGGTCGGTTAAGGTCATCCGACCTAGCTCGACCTAATTCAGACCTAAAACAACCTAGATTTAAGGTCGGTTTAGGTCAGTGGTTTGCGGGGAAATTGGCGGGAATGCGCCATTTCAGCGCACAATTAGGCTGTGATCACTAATGTTTGCTCCTGTTCTGCACTAAGTATGGGCTTATGGTATGACCACATGCCATGATAGTACATGTTACGGTGAGAGGTTACTTGGCACTTATAACCTCCCACTGTTTGAGAATTCACGTGTTGGAGGATTGAAACTTTCTCAGGTACTCCTTCTACTCCTGGGTTGAACTTGCAGTGGGCCACCCAGTCAAATATCTTGATGTTCATCGGCTGGGAGCAGTCGTAGGCCTCCACCTTGTACTCGTCCTCGGCCATCCCCTGGGCTCCCAGTACCACCAGCATGCCTACAAACAGTAGCTGGCTCGCTCCCTTGCTCCTTTCCCCTTGATGGCGGGCTGCTTGCTCTCGTACCTCACCATCAGGCTGACCAGCTTCCCTACGCTCTCTCCCTTCTTCAACTGAACAAAGATATCATTATTATGGTTATTCATGTAGATTGCAGGTGAACGTAAAACTCCTGCCCTGGGGGAAAATTTGGAAGCAAAAAGATTTTTTTTCAACAACAGTGTTAAACAAGATTGGAAAAATGAAATCCTCCCCACTGACTTGTCCAGGTTCTTCAACTAGATAAACCCATGCCCCTTGCCCAGGGTGAAGTGTTACAGAATTTTTCACTTTTGCAATTCTAGATTTTTGACCTGAAATTGTATTAATTCCTTCCTTAACTTTATTGCTACTTCTATCTGCTTCATCCTCTGTGTCACTCCAACTACTCTCCTCTGCTTCTTGTACATAACTACTCTAATTTGCTACTCTATACTTAGCCCTTACACTACTTCTTATGCTACCACTATTTTTCATACTCCCTGTCTGCATCCTTTCCGGGACGCAGCTCTTGTCCCGATGGAACCAGAACTCTCTCTTGATCTGCTTCTTCTCCTCAATGGTGCTATAGAGTCTGGCCTCTGTGCCCAACTCTCCTTGAGTGCTGCTTTCAGTGATTTAAGGGATGGTGCTATTGATGATTTTGCTCCTCTCTTAGGTCTGGGATTCTCCGGTAGCTTGAACTCCACGCTGTATCTATCCGTAGGGATTGATCTTCTGCTGGATCTTCTCCTGGTTGCTTCTGTAATGGTGCTGCCATCTAACAGCCTCAACTCTTCATCATTATCATTGGACTTCGCTGCCTGAGCAGTTTGGGGTGAAGGGGTATTTATTTCTCCTGGTATTTCCCTACCCTCTCTAGTATCTTGTTCTTCTTGTTCTCTGGCAGGGGTGTTTATTTCTGTAGGTTCAACATCCCTTTCCCTTGGCTCTGGAGTTTTCTTAGGTTCTGGCTCTGGGGCTAGGTTGGCTGCCGACCCTGTTATCCCATCATCTTCTGCTGGTGAGTCTTGTAGCATCTCATCTAGCATTTCATCTTCTACTTGGAAGTGTTCGCCGAATAACTTCTCAGGGTTGCTGCTGTTGGACCTGATCTAGCCCGGAGACTGGGCAAACGACTAGAACTGGACAATTTCACTGCTCTCTGAACTTGCTGCAATGCTTGAGCCTGAAAAATTCTGAGGAATTACAGGGGGTTCTGACGAGATGCTGCTGCGGTGACTCCTCCCCCGTTGATGAATTTCAGAATTTTGAGAATGAAATTCATCAATAAGTTCAGCATCGAGTTGTTTTGCTGGAAGCTCGAACTGGGACAACTCCTCTGCCAAATCTTTAATTGCTTCAGCTGGTAATCTGGGTAGTTTGAAGAGGGGGTCAACATCTTTTTGTCCCATTTTCTTTGCTACACGAACTTTTAATCTGTGTGCTATGAAGGTCCTTGGATTCTTCACTTCATATTCTTCAAGTTCCAGCATCGCATTATTTAATATTCTCTTAACCATTACCGGGCCGCTCCAGCTCAGTTGCAGTTTTCTTGAATTTCCTTGGGGGGGGAGGGCGGCACAGTATACACGGTCTCCTACACATATCTCATCCTGTGGTTTCTCATAAGACCGGAACTGTCTCTGTATTCTCACATTGTCTGATGCTCTCATGAGATCAAGGATGTAATCTAATTGTTCTTCAACTGAGTGGGGGGAGGGGTTATTATTTTGAACAAATTTCGGCAGCAAAGACAAGTAAGGAATATTTAATTCTCTTCCAAGAAAAATTCTGGCAGGGGAGGAATTAGTGGAATAATGTTGGGTTGAATTGTAAGCTAAAATCAAAGTTGGGAGGGATTTTTCCCAGTCATTTTCTCCATTTGCTTTTTTTGCTTTCAAAAGTGCCCACAAAGTTCTATGAAAACAGGGTTAGACTGATGATTGTGGCTAAAACTGATTTTAACATTAACATCAAAAGCTTTAAGGAGGTTTTTAAATAAGGTGTTATCAAATTCTTTCCCTTGATCCATGTCCTAATTGTTGCAGGTGCTCCATACAGGCTAATCCAGTTGGTCATGATTGCGTTGACAACTGACTGAGCTGTCTTGTCTGGTAGAGGCACAGCTGCAACAAATTTAGAAAATTGGTCAAGTATAGACAATATATATTTATTTTTATTACTGGATATAGTTATTGGACCTATCAACGCAAACTACTTCATTTACGTTGAGTGTTCTTCCGTCGAATGGATTTACCTGTTTTAGGTTTACCTCTTCTCTGTGTAGACATCCAGGGCATTTGTTACAAAGAGAGCTACATCAGCTCTCCACCCTGGCTAGAAAAAATGTTCTTTAACCTGTTGTGTAGTCCGTTGTACACCCCAGTGTCACAGACATGTACAGCTAGCAGAGCTTGATACCTGTGCGAGTGTGGGATGATCCAACCCTCATCAGAGGATTTGAGTCAAACTCATTTTCGAGGAGGTATATTAACCTGGTAGAGTTTGTTGTGTTTTTATCGGTCAGCCTGAGTTGCTTTCTTACCTTGTACAGTTGCAGTACATCATCATGTACCTCGTCGAAAATTGAGGTGTTAATTTTGTTCTCTTCAACTTTACCTGTATTTAAGTTAAACCATGCTCTTACCATTTGAAGTGCATTGTCTTTAGTTTGTGCTTTCTCAAGGTCTACTTGATCCATGAGAATTTTACCTTTGAAGGTCCCTATTAAAGGGGGTCCACTTCCTTCATCTGCGCGGGATCCTAACAAGTGCCAGGGTGGTTGGACAATTGTATATATCTTACCTTGACATGAGGGGGGTAAATATTCCGAACTTGAGCAATCGTTTACTTTTGACATGTTTACCTGGTTCATTTCCATCAAATTCGGGTTTGCACCAATTTTTAAATTTTTCCAGGGTAGGGGGAACATGTCTTGGTTACCTTGTGTAATTGAGTCCGTTTCAGAGGGGAGGGGGTCATCCATATGTGTTGCTCTTGAGATTAAATCGGCATTAATATTTGTTTTACCTGCACGATGCATAACCTTAAAGTTAAACTGTTGTATAAAATCTAGCCATGGCCTGATAGTTCCGCCGGAGTCCTTCATGGTTGACCAATGAAGCACAGTGGTGGATTCCGTAACGACAATAAACTGATTCAACCTTAACAGTGGTTCAAATTTTTGAATGCCATATAAAAGGGCCAGGAGTTCCCCTTTAGAACTATGATAATTACTCTCATAATTTTTGCATTTTCTCCCTTTAACACCTAGAAATCTTTCAATATTATTCTGCTCCTGAGATAAAACTGCACCAATTGCAGTTTTAGAGAAATCTATTGTTAAAATAAAAGGTTTTGCGGTTGGAGAGAAGTCTGGTGTGGCTCTGCAATAGGGCTGCTGCAAACATCTGTTTTAAAGTGTTAAAATTATTTATCATCTCTGGTGTCCATACAATCAACTTATTATTTTTAATACTATTCAGTTCAGCCGTAACATTCGCGAAACCTGGTAAAAAATCACGATAATAATTAGTAAAACCTAAAAACGCGGATAACTCCAGTCTGGGGCAGTGGCCATTCTGTAATTTTCAGAACATAAGATGGTATTCCCAGCAAGCCAGAGACGTCACTGGCTGAATCACTTACATTAAATTACATCACTTTGACGTCATTTGACATAACATTTTTTCAAGACATTTTTTTTATATTTTTTTACATTTTTCAACGTTTTTTTTTTTTTGGTTCAAGATCAAATATCATCACTACAACTTTTTTCCTTGGTATATCATGCCTCTATAGCTATAGTGAACTATTTGAAATGGAAAAAATAGCAAAATTTAAATTTTAAAACACTAAATTTTTGATGACGTCTTATGACGTTATTTTGATGTAATTTATTCTCTGTCAAAAATTGTATTTTTGCAATGTTAAATGACGTTAATTTAACATCAAATTAAAAAAATATATTTTTCAATCATTTACACAGAACATTTATATAATCTTCTATTTTTATGTTCCTCTCTGAATACTTACATTTTTCAGAAAAAAAAACAGAACAATTTAAGTATAAAAAGTTAAAAGAATTAATGTTTTGTGCGTACCATATTTCATGTGAATAGTTAATTATTAAGCAGCATTATAAGATATTCATGAATCAGCCCCCTCCCCCCCTCCCTCCCCTAGAAAGATTATAGATACTGATATATTCTACCCCCCCCCACACATCCCCTCTGCATGCTGTATGAAGTAGAGTGCCGTGCCTCAGCTGGTTGCAGGTTGTATAATAATCCGGCCCGGCCCGACCTGTAGCGTGCTTGATCAGGTTTAGCTGCTACAGGGTGTCCCACGAAACATGACATTTAATAAATCATTATTTTTAGTTTAAAAAATCTTTTGCTTCATTATCTTTTTACAAATTATGGAAAAAGACATTCTAAACTATTTACCAACTGTCATGTTTCGTGGGACACCCGGTAGCCTTATAGGTACTGCGTCAGGGCGGTCACTGTTCACCACTCACCAGGCCAGTTTCATTCAGTTACTTGCGAGTCACATACCGACAAACACATCAGTTACAGTCTCCCTTACATCAGCTGCAGCAGAAGAACAAAAAAACGAAGTTTTTTTATTTTATGCATCATTATGTTTGTTAAATTTCGAACAAATGTCACATGGGATAATTGAACAAGTATAATCAACAATCAACGAAAGATGGAAGCCACAATTTAACAGAAATAATTAACCATCACTGAATTTGATTTTAAATATGTTTAATAGAAGTACCGTGATTTTTTATACTTACTATTTATTTGTTGGTATATTTTTATCCTAGTTACAGTCTACCTCACATCAGCTGCTGCAGAAGAACAAAAAAACGAAGTTTTTTATTTTATGCGTCATTATGTTTGTTAAATTTCAAACAAATGTCACATGGGATAATTGAACAAGTATAATCAACGATAAACGAAAGCTGGAAGCCATAATTTAACAGAAATAATTAACCATCACTGAATTTGGTGTTCTCAACATAGTGTTCTCTATAGAACAATTAGGCAAGTACAAAGTATTTTTTACATCACAAGTTTAGTACACAGTGTTTCCTACAGATTAATAGGTAAGTACTATAGTGATCTACAAAACAATAGGTAAGAACATAATTAATTTAATTTTATGTTAATTTGATGTCTGTTGTCTTTCTTTATACGTTAATGAAACGTCATTTAAATGTTCATAGATATAATTTTGATGCCATTTAAATGTTAAGTGACATTATTTGAACGCCATTGAGATGTTAACTGACATCATTGAGATGTTAGGTATCGTAAATATGGATCTAATTTTTGGTATTGTAACCTCAAATAATGTCATTATGATGTCACAGAACATACAAAATGACATATAACAAACATTAAATTGACATAATTTTAGCACATTTGACATCAATCTAACGTCTCAAAATGACGTCATATAGACGTTAAAGTGGGTACGTTTTTATGTCAATTTGATGTCTTTTTGTGACGTCAAAATGACGTAACTGCACTCTAAAAAGATGTCAATTTGACGTTAATTTAATGTCCCTTTTAGCACATTTGACATCAATCTAACGTCTTAAAATAACGTCATATAGACATAAAAGTGGGTACGTTTTTACGTCAATTTGATGTCTTTTTGTGACGTCAAAATGACGTAACTGCACTCTAAAAAGATGTCAATTTGACGTTAATTTAATGTCCCTTGTCTTGCAGGGTTGATTTAACACCCTCAGTGCTGACCAGATGACCAAGATATTCAACTTCTTCCTGAAATAAATGTGTTTTACTAGCATTTAGTCTAATCCCTGCTTCTTTGTGGGCACTGAACACTAAACCTATTAAGTGAACATGAGTATCCAGATCAGCACTATGGATTAGTACATCGTCCAGGTAGGCGACTATCCCGGGAACACCTAAACTATCCACCAGTCTCTGCACAAACCTACAATACGAAGCTCCTGCGTTCTTTAAACCAAACGGCATTCTTGCAAACTGGTATAGGCCAAAAGCAGTTGCAAACGCTGTGGTTGGCCGAGAACTCTCCTCTACCCAGCAAGAAAAAATACAAAGAACGGAGGAGAAAAGGTGCACCGTTAATCATGTCGCGGAGTTCCAAAACGGAACTCCGATTCTCAAAGAACGGAGGTTCGGCAGTATCCTATACTGATGCGATTGAGGTGCACCGAACGGAGTGATTTACGGTGCACCTTTTCTACTCCGTTTTTAGAGCTCCGTTGCTCCTCCTCTCTTAGAGCTCCGTTGCTCCTCCTCTCTTGGAGCTCCGTTGCTCCTCCTCTCTTGGAGCTCCGTTACTACTCCTCTCTTGGAGCTCCGTTGCTCCTCCTCTCTTAGAGCTCTGTTACTACTCCTTTTTTGGAGCTCTGTTACTAATCCACTTTTAGAACTCCGTTACTACACCTCTTTCAGAGCATATACAGGGTTACCCACAAAAAATGAGACTGCAAAGGTTACTAAAACTCTAAAAATGTTTTACTTTCAATGTTAACTTTGGTTTACTGGCTCAAAATAGTTCATCAACTTTTTTTGCTAAAGAAAAATTAAAGTTATTGACGGCAAAACATAAAATGAACTAAAATGGCATATAAAATATGTATAGTCATCTCTGAAGTCTCATTCTTGGTGGGTAACCCTGTATATATTACGGTGCACTGAATGAAATATTACATCATTGCAATTCAGAATCTTGAAGAAAAAAATTGAAAATAAAGGATGATCAACTCTACTGGATTTATATTAAAATAACTTTAAATGATTAGAAAAAATATAAATATTTAACACAAAAAACTTAATTATTTTTTTTCACTTGATTTCTTATTTTTACAGAATCTTGCTTCTGAAGAGTCTTTTCAGATCTGGAAGAATTTGAAATTGTTGGTAATTCTTATTCGTATGTAGTGTATGTATGCTCAGCTCACTGTATTGAGTTCCCAGTTCTAACTGCAATAACTGCAGTCTCATAAACAAAGTAGTTCAAATCCTAAGTTATTCTTTGAATTCTGTATCCCGGCCGGTTCCAACTGAAAAAAAATATCAATGAATAAGGTTGAAAAGAAGTAAAACATGGAAAGAGGGAATGGATAAGAAAGTAAAGCATTATAAAGCCTACTGTACTATTAGAAGGGATATTTACTAACATTTTACATTAAGACAAACATGGACTTTACTGTTGTATTACAGTGGTAAGCAGAAATATCAATATAATGAAGACGACTTTTTTATTTGAGTTTTAATTGTTAACAAGTTTTTTTCGAATTACAAGTTTACAAGTAATTAAAGAAAAGCTTTCTGAAGTGCAACTTCTCTTTGTTTCCATATTTTTCTGTGTCCATGCTGTTCAAAAGCATGATATAAATCAAAATTCAATTTGAAAGTCGTCTTCATTATATTGATATTATCGCCTACCACTGTATTAAGATACACATCAAACATATACTTATCTGTTGTACTTACATTTAAAGTTCAGACAAAAATGTTCTTACCTGTTCTACTATTTAGACAAACATGTCTTATCTGTTGTACTATTTAGAGTTTAGACAACATGAACTTGCCTGTTTTACTATATTTAGACGAACTTGTACTCAACCTTTGTACTGCAAAGATGAACATATACTCACCTACTGTACTATAATAGCAATATGTTTACTGGTAATACTAACATATACTCACCCATTGTAGTTTAAAACTGTACTTGCCTAATATATTACTAAAAAGACAGCCATGATCTCAATCTTTCTACTACAGTGGTAAGCAATTTTATCAATATAATGAAGACAACTTTTTTATCAAGTTTTAATTGTTAACAAGTTTACAAGTAATTAAAAAGAAGCTTTTCAAAGTTTATCTTCCTTTTCATGTTAAGTGTATATCCATGCTGTTTAGAAGCTTGATATAAATCAAAACAGAAATCGAAAGTAGTCTTCATTTTATTGGTATATCGCCTACCACTGTATAAAGCGGAATATCTACTCAAAAATATTGTACTGTTTAGGCAAACATGAACTAACCTTTTGTCCTCTTTCTTCACCAGACACTCAATAAATATTCAGTGCTCTTGTTAGTTTTCTCTGTATCAGTTACTGCTGCTCACTCCGCTCTGGAAAATAAATGGAACGTTTGATTTCAGAAGAAAATTTCCAGGAGAATACTTTTTTTAAGCTATTGATGCCTAGATGTCATTGTCAGAGAGGAGTATGTATGATTAACTAAGGTACCCTCAAAACATTTATCAAAAATGTGGAAGTTAACGTCGTTTTTTAAACTTAAAAGAACATATTCCAAAAACCAGTGCTTAGGATCCGTTGGATCCACAAGATTTTGGCTTCCTGGATCCGGATCCGGAAAAATATGCGGATCCACGGATCTGGATCCAAGGGGCAAAATATCAACTAAAAACTGCAAAAAAAATTTAAATCTCAACCCAAATCTGAACTATTGAAAAAAGAGAGAATATAAAAATTTCCTAATTTCTGAATGGTTAAACAAGTTTTAGCATAAAAATAAGCGAAAAAAAATGAGATAAAAAATTTAAAATTTTTGCTTTAATAAAAAATTTCAGTAAATTTGTAAGAAATAACCTGGATCTGGATCTGGATTCGGTTCCGGATCCGGATCCATTTTTTCCAGTGCGGATCCAGGATCCGGATCCGCATCAAAATTAGTTGGATCCTAAGCACTGCCAAAAACTAAGAACAGGATTTAAACAGTTTGAGCTTGAAAGACAAAGATATTTTAGTTTTTCTATCTGAAAATTGATTATTTTCGAATTGTGCAGATTTGTGAAGAAGAGACATGAATTAAACATGCATCAAGATACAAACACGACAATATCCTTTGTATTCATGTATGCATGGCTGGACCAAATTAGCTAAAAAAATTGAGGAAACCCATGGGTGAGAAAGGCTACATTTTGTAAAAATCTTTAAAATTCCATGGGTACTCCATCTTTAATCATAGTTTATTACCAAAGGAGGAGTATTTATCACTATGGATAATATAAATCTGGGCAACGCCAGGATCCAAAGCTAGTAGGGATATCTAATTCATACTCAACAAGTGGATTTTGAAAATTTTATGGAAATCGAAACTTGTTCGCGGATTTCATAAAAAAAATTCAACGGACTTTCAAATTTTGTTACAAAAAAAAAAACTTTTAACGCAATATTTTAAATTTTAATCATTTATAATCCTTCCCTGGGGCCATTCGAGATCCCACAAAAAATTTGGGCCTGATTGGTTCAGCCGTTTTGACGTTTATTGCAATACAAACAAACAGACAAGCCAAATTTATAAATAGATTTTGAAAACCCGCGCACTTTTTTTAATGAAATCTGCGAACAAAATTTGATTTTCAATAAATTTTCAAAATAGCTACGATTTTATTTCATGAAATCCGCGAACTTTTTTGTTTTTGTTTTAAAATGTACACAAAGAGAACATATTCACAATTTAAATAGAATATTAAAAAAACATTTTTAAAGATGATTAAAAGCATTTTAAGTAAATAATTTCAATTTTTTTCTAGATAAAAGAACATTAAAACCAAATCTGATTAAATAAAAATTAAGGATGCTGCAGATCTGTTGAAACATTCGAAGGATAAGCGTAATTTCAAGTGACCCTCCATTAAAAAAGTGTATGGCCGAATCACAAAGGTACCCTTGAAACCTTCATCTGATCAATAATGTGGAAGATTTATTTAGCTTCACAAAGTTTAATTATCTATTGCTTATGGAGTAAGAAAATCCACAAATGAAAATACTTAGTTTACAAAAACATAAATATAAATCACACTTAATCAGAAAAAGCTTTAAGGTTACCATTGTACCAATCGGACATGACACTATCAATTGAGGGTTGCATGAAATAACGTTAAAGGTTAAAGAGCTAAATTAAAGATTTACCTACTACTATCCAGTGAGCACGGCAGCTGTTTCTGAGCTTTCAGCTTTTTGCTCTGCTTTCTCCAACTGTACTTCTTTCTTCTCCAGGAGCAATCAGAGGTTTGTTAGTGGAGCTATAGGTTTATAGCTGCCCATTCTAAGTTCAATTAGACTTGTCTTGCTGTCTTGTAATTCACAGTCATTATGAATAGTGGGTTTGAACTGTATAAACTCCTGAGCCCGTTTTCTCCATAGAAAGTGGTCTTGTATTTCACGTACTTTGGGGGACGATATGTTGGCCGCTAGATGTCTCATGCTAAATTCTTATCTGATAAATAGATATTTCTCCGTACATTTCACGACCAATATAGAAGACGTCAAGTTGTCGACCAATGTAGTTTATGGAAGGAATGGCCTCTGACTTGGCGGTCGCAGGCATAAGGAACCCGTGGCAGCGTGCTCTCTACGAATACTACTATTAGCAAAAGATAAAATAACAGATAGTTATAACATATTTGACAAATTATGAACTATAACTTAAGGCAATGACAAAAATATCCCGAATTAAAAATTAAAAAATAAAGAACATAAAATTAAATCTATAGTCATGTTAACCAAGGAGTTGAGTTTGCGCTGTTATTTTCTAAAACTTTTCTTTTTGCAACCCGAATTCGTAGACCTCAGATAGTTAAAAATATTAATTCTGCGAGATAATAGGTCTAGGTTTGAAATAGCAAAGGTTTATTATCAGGATTCTAAGATAGGGATAAGAAAAATTGAGTTAAAAGTTCAGAATAACCATTATATATGTCGTTTAATTACAATAAACATAATGTAAATCAAACGCGAGGCAAACAATAGGTTGGGGGGGGGGGCGTCCAAAAATTGTCTACTAGGAAATTACCGAACTGCACTTAGGCTATTCACGCTAAAGATATTCTTTACTTTAGCAACTAATTTAAGGCATTTACACCTTTATATTCACGCTCAGAGTTTATGTTTACCTAACCCACAAAAAAACATTCACCATGATAATTTAAAGGTAATTATAGGAGAATATAATATGAAGGTTTAAATAAAGCATATTTTCGTTTATATAATAAGTCAGTGGTAGGCAATATACAAGAAATAAACTGCTTTTTAAGAAAATATGAACAATTAGGTAAAGATTAGATAAGAAGCAAGGATTCACGCCATCCAACTATTAAAACCAAATGTTTACCTTGAGACATCTATCACTGTCAGCTAGCAAAGTTCAGGTCTCCAGTATGTATTGCTATCAACAGTAATCCGATTATCTGCGTATTAGAGGGAAAATGGCCGCAATATGCTGCCTGCACCATGAGGGTAGGACCGCAGGAATCGAGTCATTGGGTCGTTTCATCATGTGATGTCATACGGCTACTCCATTGGCTGAGTCTTATTCACTGCCATTCCTGATGCTTGCGCATGCGTGAAAGCATACTGGGTTAAAACTTAAAATTTATCTCTTTTTGAAATATTTTTCACTCCAAAATCTTCATTAGCTCCATCCGTTGCACTTTAAAAACGTATTAAGCTATAACATTTAAATGTTTATCTATGAAGGGTAACTTGATTTTGGTGTACTTTTAAGCACAGAAATTTGCGTGTATGTTCAGCTGATCTTAATATACAACAAAGTTGATCTATCTATCCCGTTTAAACGATTTAAAATATGGAATTCAATATACGCATTGTCAGGCCGTTATATTTAAATCTTTAAACATTCCTATAACAGATTGAATGTTTGTTAAAGGTTTAAAAAGTATGCTTGTATCTATAGCTTGTATGTAACTAGTACATGTTGTCTAGACACTGGACTTTCTGAGACTGGCAGTCGAAACCCGCTCGACCTGCCCCACAACCATGTCACGTGATTATCTCTCCTTGAAAAGGAGTTCCGACGGAGCTCCTCTTTTGGAGAATTCTCCTAAAACGGAGGGAACGAGGAGAATTCTCTACAAGAGGAGGAAATGAGGAGAACCATCCATTGTTGGTGGAAGAAAGGAGTACTCCACTTGAGGAGTAATAGCAGAGCTCTCCTCAAAAGGAATTCCTCCGGAATTCCGTTTTTGGTTGACTCTACAAGAGGAGGAAATGAGGAGAACCATCCATTGTTGGTGGAAGAAAGGAGTACTCCACTTGAGGAGTAATAGCAGAGCTCTCCTCAAAAGGAATTCCTCCGGAATTCCGTTTTTGGTTGACTCTACAAGAGGAGGAAATGAGGAGGATTCTCCATTTTCGGTGGATAAAAGGAGTCCTCCTCTTGAGGAGGAGAAGAGGAAAGCGGAGTAGGTTTTCTTGCTGAGTACCTCTATACAATAATAAGCATTAGAGGCGTCGAGGCAACTAAAGTACCTCAACTTGCCTAAAGAGCCTAAAATTTCAGAAATATTAGGGGTGGGGAAACTGTTGGTCACTGAGAGGTCATTGACCCGCCTAAAATCTAAAACCTACCTCGTCTCTCCGGTCTTCTTGATCATGGGGACCAAGGGTAAAGACCAGGGGGACCAGCTGGGCTCAATTACTTCATTTTTTAACCATAAATCAAGTTGCGTCTGTAAATTATCTTTACAATTTGGCGGAATCGGTCTCATTCTTTGATTTACAGGTTGGGCATTAGGTAGCAATTCAATTTTAAATTGATCGTACCAATTTTTTTACATTTAAATTTTCTTGGAGAATTTTATTTTCATTCAATTTCAATTCTGCCCAAATTCTCTCCGTGACCACAGGATCTTTCACTCCTGTTTTTACAACATTTACTACAGGTTTAGATTTAGTTTCAAAAATCATAGAGCCATTGGCTATTAATTGATTGGGCGTGATGTTAACATCTTGATCTGACAAATTAGAATACATGATTACAAGTGACTTATCTTTATGTTGAGTTTTATGAAGATACACAGCAGGCAGAGCATCGTCAAGGAGTCCTTCATCAAGAGGTTGTATGTTGATAAAGGAGGCCGGATTGACGGGAACATGACACTCTACTGCTTGTGTTGTCTTCTTGGGCACAGTAACAAAGTTTTTCTACGTTACGAGTAAAATTGGTGCACCTTCATTGTCAATTACAAATTCCTGAGGGGGGGGGGGGGATTTTTCAACAGACTTTCTGGGTGTTCTATGAAAAGGGCGGGATCTATTGTTTAAATTTGCAATTAACTCCTGAGTCTCATTACCTATAGGGCTGTGCACAATTTGTGCTGAATTCGGGTCTAAAATGGGGCTCAGACTGTTTGATTTTTAAAAATTTATCCCTATTATTACAGGTAAAGATAAATCTCTTAAAATCACAGCTGAGCCTGAAAAGATGGTAGAAAGATTATTAAACCTAATTCTAACCTCTAACTGTCCTATTGTTTCCATCGTCGAATTTGAACTAGCCCCGTTTGCTGAGTTTAAAATTCGACGGTACTAGTTGTCCTACATTTCCTCTCAGACTATCAATAAAAAATTGCTCACTGATAGTGACGCTTGATGGAATAAGGGCGCCGGTATTGATGAGCAATTTTGTGTTTATAAAATTTTCACCTGTACAATCTATGCCTTTTGATACAGCACCCTCCAGGAATGACGTTGCTTTGATCATGTTGATATCAGATCTTCTAGGCTTCTGATTATCCGGCGAGAATCGGTAGTGGCCTTCTTGGTTATGGAATTTACTTTTGCATTTGACACAGTATGTTCTCTGACTATTCTTCGCACAATCAGCGTGCTTGTGGGCTTGTCCACAATACCTGCAAACCAACGTCTTGCAATTGCGCATGTAGTGCTCTTGTCCACACTTATAACAGACAGGCAGTTTTCTTTCTTTCTGCTGGATAGCATGGACGTTTTGCTGAGGATGTGTACTTTTAACATGTTGTTGGAATTGGAGAATAGAATCACAAATTGTAGCCTATTGGAACGGAATAGTGACAACAATGGAAGTGGCTAACCTTGATAATTCTGTAGATTGGAAACCATCACAGATTTTCTTCATCACTAGAGAAGCCTGTGACATAGTCCAGCCTGAACTAGGTCCCCATGCATCCTCACCTAGTTCCCGATACTTCTGGAGGAAGGATTGCACACTTTCTGCACTCGTTTGGTTAATTCCTTTGTAGATATCTAGCATCGCTTGATTCTGGGAGACTGGTGAGTGGACTACGGTCGTTATCAACTGCAAGAGGCTCAGGTATGAGTATGATTCAGCTCTCGCATCTTTACCGGCGTCCAGGTTCAGCAGGCGGTTCTTCAGACTCAGGGAGCAAGTATTATACACGACAGCGATCTTGCTGACTCTTGACGTGATGAAAAATTTATCATAGGTATCCGCGTAGTAGGAAGACCAGAATTTGAGTGACTTTGCAGAAAAATCTTGTTCCTTCAGATTCTCAATCGCACGGGATATGTTTTTAGCTTCTGACTCACTGATTTTATCCCATGGCATAGGGCTTCCAAGTTCTTCAGCCGGAAGAGTTTGCGTCTTGATCAGCTCGGCGATTTTTGACTTATCATCTCTCCTTGCATAGTCAATTCTTTGAATATTGAATAATAATAAGTAGAGGATGGATGGTCAGGTTCTTCTCCCTCCTCTCATCGATAGCTTTCATGGGGAACTGCCAGTTTATCCCGAGCTTTATTCAACCCTAGCCTAGGTATATTAACCCTACGCTCCTTGGGCTAGTCGGCCGCCTCCCCCTGCCCCTGCCCTCTGAAATAACGAAACATAGGCATCGCTTGGGTTATTTATAGAAAATGTAAACACTACGATAACCGTTAGGGTTCAAAAGTCGATATATGGGGTGGAGGGGGGGGGGGGCATTATCCCTCTTGATCGCAGGAAAAGATCATCCGATCATTTTCCTGCTACAGTATTTAAATAAAAAAACAGTGACCAATTTTAAAAGAGAATCTAGTTTATAACTATGAATAAAAAACAACATTGGAAACTATCTAGTTATTAATATGAAGGAACCTCCTGATATTTAGCATCATACCCTAATAGAGAATTTGAATGTTTAAACTGATACTTTGTGTTAGGTATAGATAACAAAAACAACAGTGGAAGCTATCTACTTATTTATTGTAGAACCACAAGATCCATAATTTCAAGACATTTTAATCAAAAATTTCCTAAGTTTGTCAGGCTCTCTATCGGAAACTCCAATTCGAGCTTCCGATCCTTAAAGTTAGAATTTTGTATGGTCATTATAAGAACTGAAG